ACACTGCTCCCACCAATAACCCTTGGATTCCTATCCACTACTGATGAGTAATTCAACCCCCTGGAAGAACTATTCCAACCTGTCTCAGAAGAACCCTCCATTATTGCACACTTTCTTTTGCTCAGATACACAGACATAAACAATCAAGAAATTCAGAAATTCTCAGATACCCAACACATTCTTCTATATCCATGTCACATCAAGAAACCATTTTAAACCCCCTTACACACTACCCAAACCCAACCCTATAGAAAACCTCAAAAACATCTTCTTCTTCTTTTTTACCTTATCAAAAGCAGCAGAAGACAACCTCAGTTCTTGAAGCATACAAACAAACCCCAGAGTCAAAAACAATGGATCACTTAAACGTGGCACCCTTGAAACACATATATCTCTAGAGAGAGAGAGAGAGAGAGAGAGAGAGAGAGAGAGAGAGAGGGGTATACTATACCATTTATCACTATATCTCTCACCCAGTAGAAGGAAAGGAAAACTGGCAAAGGAGCTCAGTTACCTGTGTTTTAGCATGAAAGCAAACAAAACAATAAGAACCACAGAACAGATGCTTTTCAGATACTGCAAAACCCCCCAGAAACACACTGGGAAGCTTTTATTCCAAGAACAAACCACAGCCTCATAAACTTCATGTACTATTTTATTCTTTAACAGTAAACATAAATAAATATATATATATATACATTTATTGAATAAATAATTCCCACATCCACATAAAATAGTGAAATACATTACCTGCTGAGAAGAAATCAAGGTGCGGACGACTTTCACTGTTGCAGTGGGGTAGGGATCAGGGCCGTATTTTAAGTTTTGGTGGCCCTGTTCTGGTAAATAAATGTGGCCCTATCAAAATTGCAAGTTTCGAACCTTTGACCTCAAAGTTAAAATATAATAAACACACATTCTTACCATCTCTTCATAGAACTTTTTAAGTTTAATTGAAAAATTTTAATTTTAATTTCGAAACTAGCTAGATAAAAATTAAATATTGGACCTCTAAAATTTGGGGCCCCTCTAAAATTGGGGGCCCTGTGCGGTAGCCCAGCTTGCACAGCCTAAAATCCGGCCCTGGTAGGGATGATGTGAACATGATTTTGTTTTCTTGCAATTAGTTTAATTTTTTGAAATTTTTTTAAAGAAATTATGAACCCTAGGCAGCCTTTTCTTTGTCTCAAAGCCACTCATTTCTGCTTCTATTCCATCCCACCATACGTGGCTCATTCACCTCCTCAAACTACACTGACAGCTAAAATGTTGGGGCACAGAAAAAGAATGTTTTATAAACTCAAATAATTTGAGACAAAACTTTATCTTCACAACGTGATCATAAACCCTTCTCCCAACAGGTTAAATCTTCATTCTTACAATTTCTACTTCCCGACTCAACAAAATATATAAGAGAATATAAATCATGGTATTAAATAACTAAATAGATAATGCCAAATATCTGTATATACATACAAGGAATCTGTCTATTTTGAAAATAATCTGAATTTCAAACGTGATCATAAATCCGGATATTTACAACTTCGCATGTGAATTAAAAAATTCTTAACTGATATGATCCATCATAAAACGTTACGTGATTCCAGATAATAAGAATATTTCAAGTCATTTTTGAGTTTGAGCTTCCATTATTGGAGTTGTTCTGATTGAATATTTTGGTCTAATATACATGGAAGTATATTTTATAATTTAACAAATTGATTTAATTTTTGTCAAATTATAAAATGTATCGTATCTTTTATTACAGGGCGTTTGGTTGAAGGGAATTTTAATTCTCTTCCCATTTAATTCCAGAGGTCACAAGATTTCCTATTTGGTTGAAAGGAATTGCAATTTCATGGAATTACAATTCCCCTATTTTCATGGAATTAAAATTTCATGTCCCCCTGGAATTTTAATTCCTGGGGTTTTAGGAAGAAAAAAAAAGATAATGACGAGTCAAAATTACACATTCCATTTTTAACCTAAAATTAATGACTGACAATAACAATGGACATTTTGGACTTTATACTACTTATTCCCTTTCAATTCACATGTATACCAAACATTGGAATTGAAATTTCCAGTAATTCTATTCCTGTAAACCAAACACTGAAATTTAAATTCTCACTTTATTCTCAGTAATTCATCTCTCATGGAATTACAATTCATTTTCCAAGTAATTCCCCATCTCCAACCAAACGTCCTATTAGTCTAAGTATTTAACATTATTACCATAAAATCTTCCTATAAATATAATACAAAAATTTTATAATAACCAAGCTAATAATCTAACTAACTTGTTTGAGACAATTTACATTATTTCAAAGAGATGATATTATTATCTAAAGCAGTACAGTTTTACATTCCATGAACCATATTATCTAAAGCTGCTGTTTTACATTCCATGAACCAAAGACCCTTAAATTACTAGAATTAAAGTTTTTAATTTAATTGTCAAAGCTTAGAATTTTTTTAACTAATAAACATAAATTAAATCAGAATACTTGTTTATACCTAACTAATATTTTTGATTGGGTCATGGCACCTCTCAAATTGAAATCACGTGGGTGTTGTAAAAAATTATTTATTACGTTCTGGTCCTGTCACGTGTCGGGATTGTGGTTGTGATTCTTCTTCAATTCGCAAGTCAAGGATTAGTATATAAAATCATTTTAGCTTTCTGTGAAGATGCGATTTTTTGGATTAAAATATTAAAGGATACAGTGATTCTAAGTTGGGGTGATTTTTTGATGGAACGTTCATTTTGGCTCAAATCAGCGAACTTTACTGTTCCCCTTGTTTGGTGGAAACCATATACAGGGAGTTCTCCAAGATAATAATGCATGGAAAGAAAGATTTCATTTCATATTTCCAAAGATATTCAACAAAACAAAAGCATTATATATGGCCACAATCATCAAGGTTTTTTTTTTTGTTTTTTTTTTTAAATCTTTATTTCAGCAAAATGATAGGTGTTTCAAATTTTGTCATCCAACAAATATTTTTGGATATTTATTTGTTTAATTAATTTGTTTTATGCTTTTGGTATTGACAGAGAAATTAAGAATGAATCCAAAAAAACAAAAGTTCACTCATCTCACTATTAATATTTAAAAAAATTAAAAAAAAAAATCAAAAGTAGTGAATTTACCCCTAAACCAAATTAACCTTTGATTAAGATTATATATATATATATATATATATATATATATATATATAGGGTTTGGTGGTGGGGCCAACTACTCCCACCTCCATTGTGGCTCCGCAACCGACAAAGAGAGGTTATTGAGTAAAAGTTATAATTGAATACAACTAATCTTAAACTATTATAGAAAACAGAAATGAATTTCTTTGATGGGAGTGTTATACTATAGTGTGCTGACTATTCATTAGTAAATGGTTAAATGTATGTTTAGTCCTAAAATTACAGGCAAATTATTGTATGGAATATGGTCCACACAATGTAATGTGGACCATAACAAAAAGTACATTTTTAATATACTAAATGTACATTATTTTTGTATTGAATGTACATTATACAATATAATGTACATTCAGAACAAAAATAATATATATTCCCTGTATACAATATACATTATTTTTGTACTGAATGTACATTATTTTATAGTAGACAAAATATGGTCCACACAATAATGATTGTGTAGGCTATTATCAATTCTAATTAAACACCAAAGCAGGTCATCGATTAAAAAAAAGTGACATAACACCCCTAAAGCACATCAAATATACATAGGAATAAGGTCCTAATTGGCCCTTTGAACGAAACGTGAAAGTGCAATTAGGTCCCTAAACGTAAAAAAAAGTGCAATTACCCCCCTCAACACCTCAAATATGTGCAATTTGACTTGATAGCAGGTTAACATCTCATCTAGCAGGTTGCATGTGTGACGTGGATGATGACTTGACCTTTTTTTTTTTGGAAAGATGACTTGACATTTTTTTTTTTTATTTCCTTCTTTTGTCTTCTTTACAAAACAACTAACTCTAGCAGTTGTAATATTCCACCATCGATATCTTCTCTCAAATTTACAAGCAGGATAAATTTCATGAAAAAAATATTCAATTTTACATAGTTATATTAACAACGAACAAGTTAATAGCTTTCACGGGCGTGGTTTGGGAATTTCTGATGCAGGTACACGGTGAATGGAATTTCTGATGCAGGTACACGATGAATGGAATTTCTGATGCAGGTTTGGGAATTTTGATGCGTGGTTTGGGAATTTCTATTGAAGCTTTGCCTTAATACACGGTGAATGGAAGAAAAGGAAATAAAAAGAATTTAAAAAAAAATGCCAAGTCAGCATACACATCATCATATAACCAGTTGGATGGAATGTTAACCTGCTATCAGGTCAAATTGCACATATTTGAGATGTTGAGGGGGTAATTGCACTTCTTTTACGTTCAAGGACCAAATTGCACTTTCACGTTTCATTCAGAGGCCAATTTGAATCTTATTCCATATACATATAATCATTTAACAAAATCTATTACTTGAAGTCCTCAAATCACTACCTTGGTGCAAAATAAATTCGAAGTAACATTGACTCGTACATATAATTTTAATTTAACCATTTTTACCAATCCCAATGACAGAAGTGCAATTAACCCTTAATAATTATAACAAATTTTATAACATTCTCAATAATTGTGATTTTTTAGGAGTTTTTACATGTGTGACTAGAAAAGAGAAGATGAATGTGAAAAAAAAAAAAAAAAAAAAAAAAAAAAAAAGAGCAAGTCTGCCAACAAAACAAAAAACAAAAAGATTTTATGCGCCAGCGGGCACGCACACAAGTTGCTTTGAATGCAAGACTCAAGTGCACCTTCTTCTCCACGCGGATTCCATATTTTCAGACCAAAAAACACACTCCCTGCAAGAACCCCATTTCTTCTCTCTCCTCCACATCATCCTTGCTTTCTCAAAAACTACCCCAAAATCCATAGATGGAGATGCTCTAATATTCATCAAGTTTGAATAAATATTTTATTTCAAAGTGTTCATTTAGTTTGAAACTTTGAACTTAATATTTTCATGTCCCCTGGGAAAAGGTGGATAATAAGCTCTACAAAGATGGCCATATATAACAAATCATAATTTGCCTGTACTACAAAGTACAAAGAGATTGAGAGAAATACATATTACCAGCAGCTCAAATGGGAGAGATATCAGAGAATAATCTTAGAATTTCCTAATAATCTCTACAACTGGCTAACAAATGTCATCCCTTAGAACAACCTCTATACACCCTCCTCTTCTTTCCTTCTTTTGTTTCTTTAATGTTCTTCAAATACTAACTCTCATTTTACAAGAAAAATCACCTGTAACTGTAAGTTTCTGTGGTGACCTCTCTTCCACGCACCAATGACATGAATTCAACGACCGGAAACAAATAAAGAATTTGTTGAGATTTGCTTCCCTTCCATTTGAGATTTTCTTGCTCTTGTCTTGTCAAGGCGTGCCCGTCTTACAGCTTCTTGGACATGGCGATCGTGATCTTTCAAGATTTGATCTACTTTGGCCGATGGAACTAGAAGTGGTCCCGAGTAGTGGATCTTGTTGCCTTTTGATCCATAGCCCAGCTGGAGAAATACAATTGGCAAAAATGTATTCGTAAGTCAGAGTTTGCTTGAATTCAAAGTACACGGTGTTGAGCATATAATATAATATATAAACATAAATGTGCAATCCAACTATCAGCTTAAGTTTTTAGTTGAGATGGAGCACATGCTTTAATTTGGTATCAGAGCCAATCCTATGCCAAAGGTCGATAAAATCCAACTATCAGCTTAAGCTTTTATATGCTTAAATTCATGGCATTAGTTCAGAAAGTTAAAAGGCCCACTTACTAGGACTGGGTCATTGTTGTCGGTTCTTCCTTCCTGATTTTGGTGTGAGTTTGTAAGCAACCGAGTTTTTTGGTCTTGTTTCATTGTTGAATTAGAAGCCTCCTTGAAGGATCCGGGAAACCTGGCTATAAGTTTCGGAACTTCATGATGAGCAGGACCAGACCTGTCTGCTCGATCCTCAGACAACAAGCTCCTCCTAGCAGAAATTATACCAGATAGGTCTGCACCCGAAGAAATCTTCGGGGCATCTTCTGTGTTCTTTCCAGATTTTGCCCAGGCGGCTCTCTGAGTCAATGGTCCTGAATGGGAAGCTCTCTTATGCAGAGGGACCTGGAGATCATTGTTTGTTTCTTCCGTGGTCTGAGACTGTCTAGGCGGGTCAATGGGAAAGCCAGACGCAACTTCCTCCTGATGAGAGTTGAACAGTTCACTTCTGCTTTTACAATTGGACTGACTTTGTCTTTTCTGCATTCAGATAACTACTTCGTGAATATTTACAGAAACAGAAACTAAAATCATCAAGAAAAACAGCATAATAAGGATGTTGAGCATATAATATATAAACCAACTATCAGCTTAGGCTTTTAGTTAAGATGGACCACATGCTTCAATTTGGTATCAGAGTCAATCCCATGCCAAATGGGTCATGGATTCGAATCTCCGCATCACCTGATTAAAAAAAGAGGCCATGGTCCACGTGTTGCTGGAAGCCCGTCATAAGTAACCGGCTCGCACACGTGAAGGGCATGTTGAGCATATAATATATAAACTAACTATCAGCTTAGGCTTTTATTTGAGATGTAGCCTGGAGGTTCAGTATTCAAAAGATAGTACAACAGTTACCTGCATTGACATGGGTAATTCAGCATTTGCATCGGGTGCAGGAACTGCACGCGATTCTCTTGTAGCTCTCCTTTCAGGGTCATTTTTGTGACCTTTGCTTCCCGCTCCAGCATGCCTAAAAATTGCATTATATGGGGATAAATCACAGGCTTATTCATGGATTAATGGAATTAAAAAGCGGTTTGATGCAAAGAAGAGAGGCTAAAAAGACATCACTAAGCTGAAGTAAGTTAATATTTGTCATGTTGTTACTACCTTCTGGCTTCTTCATCCCGTACTTTGGCATCAAACTCCTTGCTGGGAGGATATTTTGGCAAACTTGAAGGATCACACGGGAGTGGCTTCGTCGTGAAGAACTGCACAGCAAGGAAATTGATGAATCTTTGTACAAAACATCAGAATCATAATCAATTGCTAGGATGGATCAAAATAACAGCATGTGAGAGGGAGTGCTCAAGGAGACGTAACAACTTAAAGTGTTTACACTCAGTTATTTGTCCCAATGATGTCAAAGAATTTATCGTGAGATGCCAGAAAACTAGATAGGTAAGGACCGTACCTCACTCTTCAAAGCAGATGCTGCAGACCCACGATCTGCAGGGTCTATAGAAAGTAGGGTCTCTATGAGCGTTAACGCGGGTGCTGGGAAGTCTTTAAATGTTTCTGCAACACATCGCCTGTATGGCTGTTGGGGCTTGAAAATCGTTGCATGAGGCAACCTCGATTTGCTCCAGTACCCCTCAGACGGTGAACCACAAAGTTTGAAAATTTTATGCAATTGCTCCACCTGACAGATAAATTATGCAATTTAACTTTGTTACGATGTTAAGAATATGTATGGTATTATAAAGAGAATAAAAGTAAAGAAGTGAGATACACTACGCAGAAAGGTCTAAGATTGAACTGATCCAATATGTAGGTCTAACATTCTATATATATAAAATTCTGTTTAACCATTATAGCCACCAAACTAAGACTTAAAAATCAAAAGATTTGAATTATTTCCGGGATCAATGAATATATTTGGATATAATTATCACAAGAAAACAAAAAAGGTTTGGTTAGGCCATGAGGTGTCCTGAGTAGGAGGCACCTTTAAGCCCGTACCATACTTCGACTAATCCCCATTCACACGGGGCCGGCCCAATTAAGGGACGAAGTGTTGGCCAGATTGGTTTTTCCATACAAGAGGGGGTATAATATTTATTGTTGTTTCGGTTGTTATTCCCACACATTGGACTTGGAGGGAGTATAGCTCCTAAGTTTGCATATAAATCTTACTAGCACGGTGAGAAACCTACAATCACCATACCTCTGTTCTTCCTGGCATGATAGGCTTCCCAGCATAAAGTTCAGCGAGTATGCAACCAGTACTCCATAAATCCACAGCAGTACCATAGTATGTTGCCCCAAGTAGAAGCTCGGGCGGTCGGTACCAGAGGGTCACAACACGGCTAGTGAGAGGCTGGTTTTGACGGGGATCAAAGAAACTTGCAAGACCAAAGTCTGCAATCTTCAATATGCCATTATTGTCAATTAATAGGTTGGAACCTTTTATATCACGATGCAAAACACCACGGGTGTGACAATGATCAAGACCGCATAAAAGTTGTTGCATGTAACATTTGACCTGGAAAGTACAAGAGAAACTTTATACTTCACTAAAGGGAAAGTAGCTGTGAATTAGAATCATTCTGATAACACTTGCCCTTTTCATAAATACCTGTGGTTCGGTAAACTTAAGACCAGGGTTCGAGGCAAGTCCTGCCAGGTCGTGCTCCATGTACTCAAATACAAGGTATAAACTGCAAGACATGCGAGATGTAACTAGACCTTCCAGCTTTATTATGTTTGGATGATCAAGCCTCCTAAGGATGTGAATTTCCCTTGCCATGAAGCGAACACTCTCAGGCTCCAAGTTATCAAACCTAACTTTCTTCAAAGCAACAACCTTTCCTTGTTCAAGATCACGAGCACGGTAAACACTGCTGTAGGTACCCTGACCAATCTACAAAATGGGAAACCATGGCAAAAAAAGACAACATTAGCCAAATACTGGAATCAAGAAAATCAGAAATTACAAGATAGCAAGCTACTACTTTTGTTTTACGTGCTATACAAATCAAAATTACTCTGTGGTTACTTTGCAATTAGCTGAAGTACCAAACTCAAAGGGCGGGTGGGGAAGGAAATTCACAAGAACAGAGAGTTTCAATTTGTTGCTCATCTAGTAATTATTGCACTATTTGTTAGGAAATAAGCACAATACTATGCAATTAAAAACTTTCATTCTAGAGACCTTCATGAGTGTTACCAGCAATTTTATTTATACAGTTTAGGTATGGATACTAATTCAGCAGAATAACATAGTTTAATAACCATGCTCCAAGTCTGAAAGTACTCTACAATTTTAAAAAAAAAAATTAAGCCAAATGTGTTCCCATATAATGCACCCATGTTCTAAGTTACTAAATGTTTTAAATGAAGTGTCCTAGTAACGATTGTACTTTAATTTCCAGGTAGGTTTTTCTGGACCAATTATGCATGTGCTAGGTTAGCATTTGAACAGCAAACTGCACAACCTAATGGACAGAAAATCATTTCCAGAGTAAATTGGTTCATCAAATATAAAATCAATTTTGGGAAAATTTTTATCAAACTTCAATTAAGTGTACCGATTCTATATTCTAATGTATTATACCAACTTAACAATTTAAAAGCAAAATGGGCATTCATTTACAAAACCAAGTCTGCCCTTACTGAAATGGAAGCTCAGTGAGAAGAAAGAAGCATACTTTATCCAATTTCTCAAATGAATCTGCTCGCCTAGGCACCCATCCTCTGATAGCTTCACCAGCAACCGCGGCTAGCCAGGGTGGCCATCCAGCTGCAACCTGCTCACCTTCAGCAGCTTTTGGAATGTTCCCCAATCCCGGATGGTGTGTAACAGCTATATACTCAGCCTTCTCCCTTTTCCGGTCAGAATTCCCACTCTGCAACCGGGCAGAACCATTAACTTGCTTGTCGATCAACACCGTCTTCACATCATTGCTCTCAGAACGATCTTTCCCCCTATAGGCTTCCTCTCTCCTCAAAGAAACCGCCCTCGGCAGCCTCTCTGTAGAGGACTTACTGGAGAACCTCTCCCTTGGACTCTCCCTACTATCCTCAATGGCAGAAGGCTTCCCACAAACACAACCCATTCTATACCAGTAATCACAGATTAGCACAAACCCACCACCCAAAATCAAATCTTTTCTCCAAAAAACCCCTCAATTCCTAAGAATCATCTTCCCCATTGCCACAACCAAACAAACAATCTTCAACCCAAGATTGAAGTCAGCAGAACTATGCACCTTAAAAATAATACATACAGGAAAATGGGTAACTCAACTCAGTTTAGAAGCTAAGAAGCATGCCATTATTCACAACATGTATGTATGTACATAAAAACACAACAAATTGCCAAATTTGCAAGAAAATTTAATGGATTACCTTGAATGAGAGTTGAGAGTGAAAGGGGTAGAGGGTTTGGAAAGTGGGTGGGTGCGGGGAGGAGGAGGCATACTGGATCTAGGGCAAAAAATGGATTGAATTATGAGTACTGCTTCTCTTACAGAGAAATGAATGGAAGATTAATTGGGAAAATAAATATTGTTATTAACATTCAGTATAGAGTGAAAGTAAGAAATGAGGGAAAAACTGGGAAGCCCAAGGTGTTCTTTTGTGACATTCTTTCTTCTGGGAGTCAATAGCCACGCGCGTGAAGCGACAACGATAGCACACGATCTGTACTGGTAAACTGGTAATTAATTTACCAAGGATATCCAACTATATTACAAACTCCAATTGCGTCATTGAACTAAAAGAAATTACAATTAGATCTCCGAACAATGCAAAATAATACAACTCACCTTAAAATGACATGTTAACCTATTAACATGATAACGTGGTGGTTATCGAAATTAAAAATATTTTTAAAAAATTTATTTTAACAACTTTAAATACAATATTTAAAAAAAAAAAAAATTGTCTTCCCACCGGAGAATGTTACCACTGGGTCTTCTCCATGGAGAAGGTGACTTTGATTTTTCTTTTTTAAAGTAAATATTTATTTTATATATATGTGTGTGTGAGAGAGAGAGAGAGAATAACAACAACAATAATAATAATAATAATAATAATAATAATAATAATAATAATAATAATAATAATTATTATTATTATTATTATTATTATTATTATTATTATTATTATTATTATAATAAAAATACATATTTATATTTTATTTTTTTCCTCACTTATCCCACATCGGTGAGAGAAGTGGAAAATGGAGCATTGAGGCTCCTATTATAGGAGCCTCAATGCTCTATACTTTCAATTGCAATGCCCATCTGCTGGGCAAGCGGATGGGCAAACTATTTAATTAGGAGTCAAGGCTCCATAATTAATGAGTCTTATACAGTTATTATATATATATATATATATATATATATATATATATATATATATATATATATATATTTCTCAAAATGCCAATTGCAAATGCAGCAAAATATAGTGTGTGTATAATTTATTTAAATATATATTTATTGATAGATAAAAATTATAATTAGTTAAATATATACATTTATATAATATATTATATTTATTAAATATAAATATTAAATAATGTACAAAGGGTATTTTTAATATTTATGATATAAAAGTTCTTGGGAATAGTTAATACCAATGGTTATTCCCCTTGCAAAGGTAATAGCCCATTCCTATGAATATTATTTCCATGATAAAATGACCAAACGACCTCCCATATGAAAAAATCATTACATGTCATCTGAGCACAAGGTGCTTGGCTAGTCTTATTCTTTTAATTTTACATTAATACATCTTTGACTTTCATTTGTTTACCAAAATTAATCCTCCATTTTTTTTATCATTCTAGTCTTCTAGACTTAACAAAGATGTCTAATATATGTCAAAGGTTCGATATTTGGCTTTGGGTATGGAGCGGCCTTAAATCTCAAAGCCCACACCTAATAGAAGTGCTTGCAATTCAGCAAGAGGATTAATCACTATATATGTTCGATGATGGAAACTCTGCCATCCTAGATTTACCCTAGCCATATTTTAAATGGATAATTAATTGTCATAAACAAATAAAAGTGAATGACTAAAAATGACAATGTGACAGTAGTCAATGACTAAAAATAAAATTTACTATATTAAAAATATTCAACTTAACCCCAACCCCCTGATCAGTTGTACCAAACAAAACAAAAAAATTCAATTTAATTGTAATAAATAATTTTGATATATATTTTTAAAAATTGAACATATATGCTTTGTTATAATTTGTTTGGATGATGAGGGAACGCGTTATCACCACTCAATGATATGCACTAGGGTAAATCTTATTCCTACGTAATAATTTATAAACTATATTTAAGAGATAAATTATATTAAAAAAAAAAATTATGTGTAATGATCTCGATTGAGAAGATAACAACTTTGTTACCATTGACTAAACTTTCCAAATTGTATAATTTCAAATTTTCAATCTATTTTACTAGATGACTTATATGGAAATTTGACTTGACTAGACCCCTTTGACATGTCAATTAAATGGTATAAGATGTATTTTAAAAATTACACATCATGACATCAGCATCCATTTATCAACTCCTACGTAAGCTTAAAGGTTTACTAACAGAATTAAACAAACCTTTAGATGCATTAAAAAAAAAAAACTTTAGATGTGATAATTATAACCAAATTATTTTAAATTAGTTAGTTTGTTAGCAATTAAGCGCCTATTTTATCGTGATTTGAATAATTAAAAATGTTAAATTTCGTTCTTTTCGATTCAACCAGTTACTTACAATGTAATATATGTTCATGCATATTTTTTCAACTTATTAAAGTAGAGTCAATGCTTTCGTTAAGGGTTGAATCTGTGACCTCTCATTTTAAAAATTACAATTCTGTCGCTCGACCACAAACTCTTTAACACAGTTGCATGCCATCCCATCAATGATACGATGAGACTGTAGGGTACCAACGTTCTCCGGTGATTCTTCAATCCACGTACCCCACACCCCTTAAATGAGGCTCCCAAACCTATTCAAAAGTGTTATATTTCATTATGAGTTTAGACTAATTAAGTTACAATATAGTCATCAATGCTTTAATTTGGAACTTAAAGTATAGTCACGCACTGATTTCAAGCACAACTCTATCTATCTTTAAGCAACAACATGTGCATGAATGAATTGCAACAGGGAAGGGGTGACTTTATTGGAAATTTCAATTCACATTTTGAATTTCATCATTAGTATGTCGAGTAAATTTCAATTTTGATCCTGTAACTATTGGAGTTTTGTTAATTGTCATTTACAATTTTTAAAACTGTTAATTTGGTACTTTAACTATTCAATTTTTATTAATTTTGGTCACTCTCGCCAAATTGACGGCCAAATCTCACCGAAAAATTTTAATTAGCAATTAATATTTAATTTAAGGGCAATTTCGTCTTTGAGCTTGCGTCTTCTTCCATTCTTCCGACAATGAAGTCCAACCGGCGAGCAGTAAGCAAAATTCCGGTGAAGACCCAAATAAAAACAGCAGCTCACTAACTTGATCTGACCCGAGCGTTTTTCCGTCACCAAATCCGGCAAGGCAATTACACTGGAACTGGATGATCGGCAACTCCGACCTTCTTCCACACTTAATACCGCCATGAATGGTGGAAAATCGGCAACATCGTTGACTCTATCAAGGGAGAGCAATACCCATTGCTAGAAATGAGGGAATACTAGCTCAAGACTGAGTCACCGTCAGTGTGCTTGAGAAAATCGTTAACGAAAACACAATAAAATAAAACATAACCATCAACCTGTTTAATGCTTAAAATTTTATTTTATTTTTATGATTAGGGTTTTAGTAGGGGTTTTAATCTCCATTCTCCATTCTCCATTCTATCGCACTCTCAACCTCACTTAATTTCTCCCCTCATCGACAGATTCGACGCCATATTCGCCGATTAGAGAAGAGGAAATTGACCGGAGTCAAATACCTTTTTTGACCATAAATACAAAGACGAAATTACCCCTTAGATTAAAGGTTAATTGCATAATTAAATTTTTCCGGTGCGATTTGGCCATCAATTTAACTGGAGTGATCAAATTGATAAAAATTAAATAGTTAAGATACTAAATTAACAGTTTTAAAAGTCGTGGATTACAATTAACAATAGCCCCATAGTCACAGGACCAAAATTGAAATTTACTCTTTTTCTTCTCTCAAAATGTTGAATATCCAACCCTAAGAGCCTCCCACACTCCGACTCGACAGAGCATTGAAAGGATGTAAATCACGGTAACTCAATAACTCAGCAGACATGACCAAAATTCGTATGCATAGAGAATTAATAAAGCCAAAACTTGTTTTAAAAAAATCAAAACTTTAATTATTGTTTTTTCAGGTTGGGAAATATTGATGACCAAATTGAAACATAGCGAAACTTTGATGACAAAAATTATTTACTTGATTTGGAAAATATGCTTTGTAAAGAAGACTGTGGTTAATACAATCTTTTAACACTATTCACTATTTACTCTTTAATACGATTTATTTGAGCATAAGGTGCTTGGCAAAAAGCTAATGAATATATGATTATGAATCTAATTGTCACATCAAAGAGCGATAATTCTATACAGATCAGAGTAATAATTTTAGTATGAAAAATATCATTTTGTTGTCATATATCATTTTAGATTTAAAAACATGTGAGTACTCATGAATATGTGTATAATTAATTTTATTTTCTACAAAATAAAGTCACGATATGTAGTCTTTTAATCAATTAATTATGTAAAACTAATTGAACTTATAACATTTAAATACGAGAATCATACTTCATCTACTCAATCACTTTTTGCACAACTAAATAACTTGACATTGAAGAAGGATTTATTACATGAAAAATCAACTTGGACCACCCTATATTCCTATAACTCTATAAAGTGGCTTTTATCATCGCATGCCCCACCCAATTAAACTCTTTGATTAACCTTCACATGACAGAATTGAGAGAACATTCAAGTGCTTATATTACACTTAATTAGTGATCACTCAACTAATTAGATGTAATAATAATGGGGTAAGCTGAGCTTTTTGTAATGGCATTCACATTAATTATTAATATCTATGTAATTCAAGTGAAATAAGAACTAGCCAAACAGAGTTGATAATTATTTAATTATGGATTAGTTGAAACCTATCAAAAAGTCATGTCCAAAAAAAAAAAAAAAAAAAAAAAAAAAAGGAAGAATTCTCTAAAATGCTAATAAGTGCCAATTTTCCTTACAACATTTGATCAATAAAGATTTAATTTCTATTTTTCTTTTTTATTTTTAGCCGTCTATGTATTAGGTCAGAAAATTAGAAAGAAAAAGAATTACAATTTTCTTCATTCACAGACTAACGGGACATTTGGTTACAATTAGAAAACTAGAAAGAAAAAGAATTACAATTTCAATTCATGAAAGAGTTACTCTCTAACATCTACCAGAAAGTATTTAACAGATATTATTTAGAACAAAAAATGAGACTTTAGCATGATTCGATTTTTAATTGTGTTTAATTTTGTTTAGCTATTATTGCTTTATTAAAAATAAAAATAAAAACCACCCTAAAAACTCTTATAGA